AATTAACATTGCCTTTTTTTGAGAAGTCTGGAAGTTCCACAAATCACAATTTACAGAAACTGGATTGCCCAGTTTGTCTGGGTATAAATTACATTTCACAATGGCACCATCTGCTGGGAGATGAGCAAGACAGGGAAGCACACTGGGCTTCCCTCACTGCCCTCTTTCTCAATTAAACATTGGATGACTGATATCCAACACCTCTTCCTAATGGCAACATAAATTAAACCTGGAAAAGTAACTAAAGGAACCAGAAGGCTGATAATGACAGAATATCACTGAGGATTTCACCCTGGAGTTCTACTTTTAATACAATAAGAGCGAATTATTATTTGTTTTTACATTTCCTCACAGGTACAGTGCAACACTGAAAAGAGCAGTAGAAATCTGTCTTGACTTGTATTTCACACAGCACACTTAGAAATTCCTTCAGACAAATAAGAGAAATTCCTTCTTTCAGAGATGTGAACTCAGTTGGTGATTACAATGTGATCGTGGTCCCTGGGAGCACCTCGAGCTCTCTCTGTGCCAGCAGTGTGTGACTGACTCAGCTCCTCAAGGACATTTTTAGCTGCTGTCCCACTACGGGATGAACAAGTTCCTCAGTTCAGAAACACACATCACACCCTGTCACTGTCACACAGTGCCCTTCACTGGCAATGGACCAGGATGTGCTTAACATCCAGCATTTCCAGAGGCAGCTGGAAAACAGCCTCAAGCTGTGCAGCAACATCCATCAGAGTACCAGCAGTGACAGAGGAGAGGTCAGTAACTTCTGGCTGCACAGGGAATTAATCCTGGAAATATTTTTCTTTCTCTTACCATTATTTTAATATTGTTTGATGGTTCCACAAGCATTATTCCACATCGGTTTCATCAGTAAAATTCAGTTGGTAGTGGCTCAATGAGCTGATCCAAGCTGACAGAAAATCTTTCAGCAGCCTGTGCAAACCAAGAGGCAGAATTGATTTGCTGCAGGTGCCCACACACAGCCAGCCATTGCTGCTCCTCACATAACTGATGGATAACTGCACAGAGGGGCAGGTACTCCTCAGAGGACACCAAGAGAGGCTTGGAAAAGGCAGAAAAATAGATATAGTCAGTCCTGGATGATGTGTTCTTTTTTAAACATTGTTTTCATTAAATATGTTAAGTATTGGGGAGGGGTGCAGCAGGGGGGAAGTTTAACTTTTATCAGAGGTTAGGAACCAGAAAAAAGTTAAAATTACACCTGTGAGTAAGCTGAGTGATTTAGCTAACAGAGCACTCTATCCTGCACTCTTACAGCAATGCCTGAAAACATTTGTCTGGAACACTTTTCATGCAGTGATGTTTGAATTTATCCCAAAAGAAATGCATTAGTAACCCCAGTTTTCAGTGTTTCATATTTGTTTTCTTTCTTTTTCCATTGTTGGGAGATGATTTGGAGGACAGACATACCATTTTAAAATATTACATCTTTGGGGGATTTGGGAGCAGCTAGGTTTATAAAATTGGGTACCCAAAAGTTCCTTTCACCTGCTGACATGTTCCTTGCAATCTGCAGTCAATTGAAAAACATTCACAGTTTCATCATGTTTTTTCTTTCTTTTTCCATTGATTGGGAGATTATTTGGAGGACAGACATACCATTTTAAAATATTACATCTTTGGGGGATTTGGGAGCAGCTAGGTTTATAAAATTGGGTACCCAAAAGTTCCTTTCACCTGCTGACATGTTCCTTGCAATCTGCAGTCAATTGAAGAACATTCACTATGTCAAAATTCTCTTTCACAACCAGAATAAATTTAAGGCTACCTTAAATATGCACAGAAAAGAGATCCTTTCCTCTTCTTCTCTTATTTATTATCCAGAAAAACAATTCTCTCACAATTAAACACCATGTACTTGAAATAAACAGCAGACTTGCCCCCACAGCCTTTTTGAGTAGGAGTGTGAAAACCCAGTATTGAGTAACCTGACTATAAAAGTAAAACCTTTTTGCAGACAAAACAGAAGCCTTGATTTAATTCATCACCAGACATAAGTGTCAGTCCATGTGATTTCTGGCAAACCTTCTGCAGACATCCACTGCAGCAGATGCTCCTCCAGAATGCAGGACCTCTCAGGATGAGAAACTGGGAATAACTATATATAATAATGCTTATAAATCTGCTGAAACAAACAAATTTCCTTGGAAGCCTGGGACAGAAAAATGTTCTTACTACAGAACATTATCCCAGCATTTTCATCCTCAAGTTAAAGAACTGACCTTGTGAATGAGAGCTCAGTTTGGCTTATTCCCTTCCACCTGCTTGCTTGAGGCAGAGTATTGTCACAGCACCAAGTGATACATATTTCCCTTTCTGATGTTTTAACTTACTTGTTTTGGCTGGATGACTTCTGTTCTGTTCTGCAATGTTCTGCTCATTATTCTTGGTCAAGTTTATTCAGTTCTCCCTACATGTCCAACCACATTAATTCCAGGCAGGAAAGTTGCAAATCTAATAAAAAGGGAACTCCAAGCTCACACAGTACCTCACTGCTGCTATAAAACTCTTTGTACACATGCTGAAAAAACCAACATCCTCTTAGTCCGAAGGCAATAGCCAGCTCTGCCTGAAAAACAATCCAGATGAAAGCAAACTTCTCACTTCCAAACAGAAAGCAGGGCTTTGTCTTCCCTGGACACTCAGGCTGAGCATCCTGGGGGGAGCCTGCACACCATGAAAGCTGCTGCACATGAGACATTCTGGTGACACCTAAACTTTTATTTTTTAGAAGGTATAGCTAAATTCACAGCTCCTTTACCCACACACAAAATGAAGCAGCTGCTTAGGAAAAGCATTGGGCTGCAGGTGAGCACCAGCAGCCAGGCCTCCTGCGGACTGTTTGGGAAGGTTTCTGACAAGAGCAGGCTCCCACAACAACAAAATGCACAAACAGCCCCATCCTCCCTCCAGCAGCTGCACTTTCACACGTGCTTCCTGACAGCTGGCAAAAGATGTTCCGTTCTTGTGGTTTGCTGACAGCGTTTCCACATCAGAAGCGTTTCTGAGAGGAGGGTGGAGACTGTCTCAAAAGAAATTAAAAAGAAAACAAACCCAAACAAGTAAACCTCCAGCAAAATTTAAAAAAACAAGGAGGAAGGAAGTGCACACAACGTTCTGTGAGGAAATTTTGCAATGCTGCAACAGCCAAGGGTTGGGCAGGGATTCTGTATGACCCAGGGAAGGGCTGCAGGGTTTGTTTTGTTGCCTTCAGTAAGTGGAAAGAAAGAAATAAGAAACAAGACAAGGATGACTGTTAAGTCATTTTCTGTGTAAGCAATTGTACAACAGGGCCTGGAGTCCTGCAGAAGGCATTGCCCGTGCACAGCTGACATTTACTTCACCCAGAGTAAAAAACATCTGCTTGCCAAGCCTGTCATTATGTAGCTTTGTATTACTGATTACTTCATCAAATTAGTCATCAGGTTTGTTTATGCAGTAATGTTAAATTCTTTATGAGATTTGTACCTTCTAGTAATAGATCTCACTTCTTATAGCTTAATATTTTAAGCTCAACTGAAATATTTTCTTAACAAGCTGGCTAGCTATAAATACTTATTAACATTTTAAAACTTCTATAGATTTTAGACTTTTTTAGACAGTTTTTTAAAAAATATATTGCTGCTAAAAACACACCCAGTGCCACGCACATCCTTAGTCTCACTATATTATCACTTGCCCTATCTCTAGCAAATATGTGTCTCTTTGATATGGATCAGTGACCTCATTAATTCCTTTCACAGAACAGTGCTGGAAAAACTACCCAAAAGGAGAAAGGTGGGGGTTGGTCTTTCCTCCCAAGCAACAAGTGACAGGACAGGAGGAATCAGCCTCAAGTTGCACTGGAGGAGGTTTAGCTTGGATATTAGGAAAAATTCCTTCATGGAAAAGGTTAGACACTGGCACAGGCTGCCCTGGGAAGTGGTGGAGTCACCTGGAGGGATTTAAAGACATGGAGATGTGGCACTTGGGGACAGGGTTTAGTGGTTGAATGGTTGAACCTGATGCTCTTAGAGGCCTTTTCCACCCTCAGTGACTCCCTGCTGCTCACCTCAGCCACGGCTCAGGACAGCTGGACGCATCTGTCTGTGACCCAACCTGCTCTCACCTCAGCCATGCTCAGGACAGCTGGACGCATCTGTCTGTGACCCAACCTGCTCTCACCTCAGCCATGCTCAGGACAGCTGGACGCATCTGTCTGTGACCCAACCTGCTCTCACCTCAGCCATGCTCAGGACAGCTGGACGCATCTGTCTGTGACCCAACCTGCTCTCACCTCAGCCATGCTCAGGACAGCTGGACGCATCTGTCTGTGACCCAACCTGCTCTCACCTCAGCCATGCTCAGGACAGCTGGACGCATCTGTCTGTGACCCAACCTGCTCTCACCTCAGCCATGCTCAGGACAGCTGGACGCATCTGTCTGTGACCCAACCTGCTCTCACCTCAGCCATGCTCAGGACAGCTGGACGCATCTGTCTGTGACCCAACCTGCTCTCACCTCAGCCATGCTCAGGACAGCTGGACGCATCTGTCTGTGACCCAACCTGCTCTCACCTCAGCCATGCTCAGGACAGCTGGACGCATCTGTCTGTGACCCAACCTGCTCTCACCTCAGCCATGCTCAGGACAGCTGGACGCATCTGTCTGTGACCCAACCTGCTCTCACCTCAGCCATGCTCAGGACAGCTGGACGCATCTGTCTGTGACCCAACCTGCTCTCACCTCAGCCATGCTCAGGACAGCTGGACGCATCTGTCTGTGACCCAACCTGCTCTCACCTCAGCCATGCTCAGGACAGCTGGACGCATCTGTCTGTGACCCAAACTGCTGCTCCCCACCCCACTGCTCCTCTCTCTGCCCACTCCTCTGCCTGCCACAGGCTAAATGAATGTGAAAGATGACAAAATTCTCCACAGGAACATGAGTAAATATCAGCACTGATTGGCACAGTTTCCGTATTTAGAACTTCCTCAAGTCCTAGAGCCACTCCTTCATCTCCTTCAGAAGAAAGAGCTCTGTCATGTAGCTGCACCAGCTCTCTTGCCCAGTATCCAGAAAATGCTTTTTCTCACAATTCTGCTGTTTTTCTTCTGTAAGCTAAGGACATGCTTCTTTCATATTACAAACCTTTCTAAAGCAGAACCATTGTTTCTTGTCTGAAAGCTTTTATTTTTCTTCTCGTAGCTCAAATGTCTCAGCAGACACAGAAAACTACTGCAAATGGCAAAGGTAGGTTCTCTTGTTGATTTTGAGGTATGTGCTGAGATTGACTGTTAGCCAAAAAAATGGGGGAGGAATTAAAAAATGTCCAAAAACTTCATGGCAAATTAAATCTTTCACCTCTCTGTGCAGTGAGTCAGTTTAAAAGTTTCTATACAAAGTTAACCATCTCTTTACTGACCTGTATGTAAAATCAAAATTGCTTTAACTTGTAAAAACATTTTTCCTCCCATGGAAATGTTGTAATTTATTTTAGTCATTATTAGTTCAGTATCATTTTCTATGGAAAGACAGGTTTTTATTGCTAATTTATTTGTATAAGATCATGAAAGGAAACAAATCTGAGAGACTATCAAGGCCCTTACTGCTACTATCCATATGTTCTATCTACTTACACAAGGTTAGTTCTGTCTGTCAATAGACAGCCACTAATAAAATACTGCCTTTGCTTTCAGGTTCATATGCTACCTCTGAACTAATTTATAAGGTTACTTTCTCCTACAATTAATACCCCACAATATTTGATTTAATCTTTTATATTTCTATTATTTTAATTGCTGCTGCAGTTCAAAAGTGTTGTTGTGGTTCATTTGAACACATCTCTGGGCTTAGTGTGGCTGTGCCTCTTTTGCATGAGCACAGGCACTTTTCATCATGTAGGAAGCTGCATTCTGGTTTTGAAAAATAATTCAGTTGCCTGCTGTGGAAAAAGTATAATGATCCATTTCAACACAAATAAGCATAGCTTGGTTGTCAACATATTTGGGACAAATTTGGGGCTTTCTTGGGTCATAGATGCAGCCAACTCACTCAGCAGTTTTTTCTTTGCAGAGATGGTGTCCAATCCCAAGCTTGTACTGGTTCAGGGGACTTTGAATGTGGTGGTGAAGCAGAATGTGACCCTCTCCTGCCTCTCTGAGCCTGGATCCCCACCTGTCAGATACACACTGTTCAAGCACAACCAGCAGGTATCTGCTTCCAACAGGTCAGACTTGAGCCCTGCACTGTTCACCCTGACCATCAGCTCTGCCAGCGACGTGGGGGAGTACAAGTGCAAAGCTGAGTACAACAACTCCAGTGGTGGAAAATACAGCAACAGCCTCAGCTTCACCCTGCTAGGTACGTCTTGCTGTGCACCTTCCCAGCACTGGTTATTGCAGGGGCACACAGCCATCTCTTTTCTTGACTGAGGAGCTGAACTTTGCTGCTGTTCTTACCTCAGGAGCTGGCAGTGCTCTCCTGCCCGGGCTCACAACCCCTCTATGCCCAGCTCTTTTGCCAGTGTTGTCACTTCACTCCAAGTCTTGCCTGGAGCTTGTCCTGTACTCTGTGATTCAGATTTTTCAATTTTCTTTCTACAGAGCCCATTTCCAAACCAGTGCTGAGCTCCCCCACCTCTCAGGCAAAGAAAGGCCAGAACGTGACCCTGTCCTGTTTCTCGGAGAACGGATCCCTTCCCATCACCTACCTGTTCTTCAAAGGAACACAAAACATTTCTCCCCAAAAGACAATGCAGAAGAGGGAAGCAGCTGTGATTTTTCTATTTATCAATTCCCTTAGTGACTTTGGGACCTATAAATGCAAAGCTAATAACAGTTTTCCCAATAATACAAAATACAGCAACAGTTTCAACTTTACATTAGCAGGTATGAATGAAAAGAGGCTACTACTGTTGACAAACTGGGATCACAAAAAATTAAGAATGTTGTAGCTATGCAAGGTTTTAGCCAGATATTTTGATCCTGCAATGTGATGTTCAAAATACAATTTTTTAAATTTAAAAAATTGATGTTTTAAAATTAATGCAAAACCATAAAATTCCATGCACCCTAGATAGCAGTAGAAGTGACCATGGAGGATGCCTGTAAAAGACTCACTTTTGTAAAAGACCCCTGGTCCACCTTGGAGAGAGTCTGGTTTCATTTTTCTCTCTGCTCCCATGAAAGAGCTTTACTGGCACCAGCAAGCTGCCTTCCTTCTGCTGGGGCACAGAGCCCTTGGGACTCTCATGAACAGTTACATTAATGCCAGTTAATCTAAAAAACTGAAAGAAAATGCAAGTCTTGATTTCAATTTACAGAAAATACTTAAAACATGAAACAACACTTCATTGCATAAACACTTTTTTTTTCTTCTTTTTAGCAGAAGAGAGAAGCCATTCTCAGACCCTGATAATTTCTCTTGGGCTGATCCTGCTCCTACTCGTAATAGGACTTGCTCTGGCAATTCCATTTTTCCTAATTCCTTTGTACAAAGCAAGTGAGTTATTTGAATGTCTGTTTCTTTTTCCACAGGTCATTTATATTGTCAATATATTTCAGTATGTAAACATCACGTTTTCAGTAGAGTAGCTCCTGTTATTTTGTCATAGTGTTGAATCTCCTCTGAAGCAGCACCAGCAGCTTAACAAGACTTTGACAAGGCCAAATCTCTGAGCTGTGTTTTAGATGAAAGATCTGGGGTGGGGGAGGCAAAGCAACAGCTAATGTAACACACAAAAACACTGGAAGGAATCTGACCTCACTGGAAAGGGAAATTATTAAAATGCCCTTGGTTAAATAATTCTTTTGATTGTGAAAATAACATTACCTGACATCTCCAAATATTTTTTAAAAAATGAAACTTTTTATTTATAAGAAATATTTATATATATCTATATAAATACACACACAGAACACACGCTTTTCTTTTACAATTTGCAGAAAAATTTAAGTCTACCAGGCCCTCAACTGGCCTTACTTCAATACTGAATGCAGAGGAGTCTGAAAATGAAGTGATATACTCAGAGATTGGTAAGTTCCTGTCACCCCTGCAGTCAGGCAGGTTTCTTCAGGTACTGGAAGGGGACACCTACTGACCCTCCTGGCAGAGGCATTATTTGAACCCCTCAGAATCCACATCTGGCATCATCTGAGAGCCATGCAGCCAAAACTGCAGCTGGTTAAATGAACCGAGGTTTTAACAGAAAAGGGTGTAATGGCCATTTACTAACAGACAACAGTGAGCTATATGAAGCTGTAGCAAAATAAAACTTGCATAGCTCCTGCATTCTTTTCAAAATTGTTCAGTACTTTTAGTTCTTTATTTAATCCTGCTTAAGTTTGGGAAGATCCAAAGTCAGTTCAAACTGAAATTATGGAGTGACAACAGGGCAGCTGACCTACGTTAAGACATTTTAGTGCTTGAATTGCAGAAAGCAGACAATAATGAAGACATTACCTGACAGCCACAATGCTCTGAACTTGCACATTTCTACATTTGCCTTGAATGTGAATGCCTCTTTCCAAGGGGAATAAGAACCCCCCAAACAAACAGCAAAGGCATTGTTTCCAATTTCTAAACATCCAAGTGGAGTAACTGTCTCCAAACAAAGCTGCCCTCCTGTTCATGCAGTAGGGAGAGCTCCCACTGCCCTGCTGGGTCAGCTCAGTGCTGGGCAGCTGCTTGTGCCAGGTCTCAGCCTGCGAGGACAGTGACAAGAGCTCTGATAAGGCCCATGGACACTCCATGATTTATATTCAGTATGGATTCTCACTGCTCTGTTTCAAAATTACAGAAAAAAAGTGTGGTTCGAGTTGTTTGTAATTGAGTTAACTGCTGTTCATCATCTTTAAACCAGAGCCTGTTAGACCAGAAGAAGAATACATCAACTTCTCCGTTATTAGAAGAGAAGAGGAAAAAGGTGAGAACCTCAAGCTGTAATATTGGAATATCTGATGCACACAAACACGTTTTGAGGGGACTTTGCTGGGTGGAGGCAGGGCTTAAATACTTGCAATTGCTTACGAAATTGCTTAGTTACTATGGAAAAACTAAAATAGCTTTAAAACTGTTTTGAGGAAGGAGAGGAAAGAAGAAAGAAAAACCCCAATAAACCATCCTAAGCAAATTCAACAGCCTCCCTATGAAACCACACAGATGTTATTAGTGACCACACTGCTGATGTAATGTGAATTCTTCTGTGTAGCTGTGCCAAGAAAGCAGCTATGAATTCTGTTATTCTGGCTTTTAGCAGGGAAGAGGCCATGTGCTACAGTCTATTCAAAGGTCCTCATCAGAGACTGAATACCAGGTATGATTATCATTTTTTTCTGATCAACTTAATCACATACTCTCAAAGAATTTTTCAGCCCTCAAATGTGCTAAGTTCCAGCAAGCTGCATACAAAGATGAGATATTTAGATACCAATTTCCTGGCCTAATCAGTTTGTAGACAGACAGTGTAGCTCACTTTCGAGGCAAAACCTCTGAGCCATAATATCCATGGACTTCAACTTATGAGAAAAAGCAAACAGATAAAACTTAGAATTACATGTACAGCTTTCACACAGATTTAAGTTCCTGAACATTTAACAATTCTCTGAAGTACAAACTGGATTGTTTGCAGACATAAGATAATCAAAAGGCTTTTGTCTAGTGTAACAATGAGGAAAGAACATCCCTCAGGCACTAGAGGATCTGTATTTAGCTTCTATGTACCTGCAAGGATGGCAATTTCTCAGTTCAACAGTACTTCAGCTCTCACAGTAGATAGCAGTAGACAGCTCTCAGAGGGATAGGTTGCTAAAATTAATTTTGGGACAGCTGACTTCAAAATAAATTCTGTGTGCTGCTACCAGCTGTTTCTTAAGATGTGGCTGGGTTGCTTTAATACCATTCCAGAGGCAGCTTATTTAGAATTGCATGAGTTCAGTAAGTCACATGATGCTAACATTGATTATATCTAGCATAAATATACTGCAACTATTATTGTTGCTACAAATAACTCATTTATAGTTAAGTGAGCACCATGTTAGAAGATTTTAAGGCAAGTTCTCGTGTTTCATGACACTGATGACTATCAGAGGCCATGGGCCTTGCTGCACTTTATACAGGGACTGAACAAGCTGTACTGGAAATCTAGAAAAGATCAGAAACACACAGTTCTGTATCTCTGCAAACTCTTGTATCTGATTTTAACCACTGTGCTTAGGCGCAGGAAAAATATGATCACACATTAGTCTTTTTCCACCATTTTGTACCCACAGATATTTTGTCCGCAGAAAATACTGGTTAAAAAATATTTAAATCTGTTATTCTGTTACTCTTGGTAATATATTTCTGAATTTTTTATGTTTATCAAGTGCAAGATGAAGTAGCTTACATGTTTAAGAACTGAAGCCATGTGACTAAAATACATTCCTACAAACAGTGCAAAGATACTGATGTTATTAAAATATTTAAGATTTGGAAGTCTTTAATATAAAATACCATTTTCCAACAGAGATCACAATTGTGTCAGCAATACAGAGGAAAGCTGAATTTTTAGTTTAGGATGGAGCACTTTCAGTATGATATTAAAACCAAAGACATGAACAAGCATATGGTTAGCCTTGCTAATAAGGGACAACTTTTTCTCTTCCTTTTTTCCAAGGCAACTGGAAGACCCAGATTTGACAGAAAACAGAAGCACCACCATGTTTGAGCAGAACTGTGTGCAGAGAAACCACTGAGTCCGTGACAATGCTGAAACCAGTTCAGGCAAAGATGTCTAAGAAAATCCCTTTATTCAACAAGTTTAAGCTTACACATTTTTGGCAGATGTAACATACTTAATTAAAAAGTCCTTCAGCCTGGAAATGTGCATCATTTCCTTCATGGTGGTGTCTCTGCTTCTCAGCTGGACCACTCCATTCTCTAGAGTGCCATCACTTATCAAGACCATGAAGGGAATGCTCATCTCATCGTACCTGCAGAGAGAAGAACCCACCTGTTACTGGTTTTTCAGATAAATTACATACAAATGACCATAAACTGTACATATTTAGTTTTGCTGTATTGCACTAAGTCCAGTGTGACACCTCCAGTTTTCTTGTTGCCATTCCTTGCTTGCCTGATTACATGTCTTCAAATTACTTAGCTGTTTTAGTATATAAAAATAATCTTATTTAGTAACCTATTAAAAGAGTATTTTTCTACAAGCAGAATTTATCTTTGTTTTACTGCACATGAACAAGAGGTTGCATCTATTTTCTCTCAGAAAAAAACATTAATCACTATGCTCAAGATGCTTTGACATGAGGAGTCATATGCCCCAATCCACTCCTGATCAACAAATCATAATGAAGCCCCCAAATGGAACAGCTGTTTTTATATCCACAAACAGTTCATCACATCACTAATGGCAGTGGTTCCAGACTTTGAAGAACTGTCAAGTTCAAGACTAGACACAGTGGGTTGTTTGAAAGAGTGCTTAAGAATGAAACACAGAACCAGACCAGATGCAAAAATGGGGGTGAGGGTGGGAAACAGTTCTGCAAGCTTACAAGTCATCTGAAGAAATTAGTTTTTGACATGAGAGTTTTTAAAAGGCATTTTACAGTTCCAGGGAAATAAGAGTAATATGTGAAAGGCTTCTACTTCACTTAATTTTAAAAATTATCTGATATGTGCTTTTCGTAATAAAACTACTTGAATCCAAGTCTACAGTTTGGGATCCACACCTTCAATCAGTAACTGCACACAATGACTTCCTACTGAAAAAAGGAATATTTACAGCAGTCCACAGAAAGTCATCTTTCACCTTCATAGTTTAATTTACAAAAGACTGTTTCTCCTTACTTTGTGTAAAGATGTTCCAGAGACACATGCACAGTTTCCAGATAACCAGGCCATACAGAAATTCCATTTTCTGTCAGTTCATTGAACAATCCTTGACAAACCTGTGTTCATTTAAAAACAAAAGTTAAAAGACAGACTTTGAGCAATGAGACTCTATACAAAGAAACCATTAAAACTCTTAACAACTGTGGTATTAACATTCCTAGCTGGTGTTTATTTGCTGGCTGAAATAATCTCAAACCAGAAAGCAGCCTGGCAGTTCTGTCTCCACTTCTGTTTAAAAACATGCCAGTGTAAGCTTCCTCCCTTCCACAGGGACTTCATGACTGACTTAAATGAAAACTTTAAAAAAATCCTTCTGAACATGTGACTCATGCAAAAAGATAATTCTGAACTGAGAGGGATGGTGTTATTCATTTTCCTTAATTTTGCATGGGACAAGCATCAGCTTTATTGTACCAAAGACAGTTGTGTCCACACAAGGAACTGCCTCCTGTGAATGCCTTTGGCTGTGACCCACAGGCTGCAGAGCAGGAGCACCATGAACTCTGCACAACCAGGAATCCCCAGGAGTCAAAGCAGCAGTATGATTTTCCTCAACATAAACAGTGTGTGAATTGTAACACATTACATGGAGAGTCAATGCTCAAAATTGAAATACTTTCTTACAACATACCTGCCTCAGCTCCATTGTTGGACCTTTTCCTACATCCAAGGCCACTTTAAGGGGTGCTAAGCAAGGATGGAGCTTAAGTACCTAATAAATTTACAAAAACCAACAGATTACTAAATGTATTTATCATACAATTCTAAACAGAAGTAGGAAATAGATATTTTTTAAAAATTAAATTAAGGTTTTAAACATACAAGAATTTTCTTACAGCAGAAAATCTTGAATTAGAAGCAAGCTGTATTTTATGCAAGGAGCACACAGCCCAGCTACATTCACATGGCAGAAATTACTCTGTTTTGGCTGAGCTCCAGAAAAGAGATGAAGATTTGTTAGCAGAGTTCCAACATCTTGAATGGAGCCAGAGTGATGAGAGGCAGCCCAGCAGGCAGCTCCCATCCAGTCTACTGCATGTTCTTAAAGCCCAAACAACTGCCTGGGTAACAGGCACTGACAGCCAGCACTCCAACTCCAGCAAACAGAGTAAAAGTGAGGAGAATGATGGTCCAGATCCCACCTACTGATCAGAGAGAAGGGTAAAACAGGAAAAGGGGACCTCAGAATGAGAAAAATTGCTTATGTGGGTGACAGGGACCACAGGGGCTGTGCCATGGGGCCAGCCTGGTGCTGCCAGTGAGAGGGTTGTGTCAGCACCCATTGGAAGGGATCAGGATGGCCTTGTGGAAAAGGAAACATTGCCATGCTTGAATTTACCACATTGTCTAGGGGGGGTTCTTATTTTGTGACATTTTCTACATGCAGTTACCTTTCTCTGAGAATTTTTCTTTGCTGTTAATGGATTCTCAACTACCTGCAGAGAATCAAAGAGATAAGCTAACACTCCTCGGTCCAGATTCCCATTCACAGACAGAACATGAGGGATGACATTCTTCCTTCCATCTCGGCCCTGAAGAGAAAAAACCCACAAAGGAAAACATCAAAGATTGCCCCCAGAAGCTTTTCGCTTGCTTTAAATGTATAATGAGACACTGAGCTCAAGCACTCTTATTTATTAAAATGCAGACATTTATTTAAAACATTACCAGCAGCCTTAGCAGTGTTTCTGTGGCCAGGTAAGGCTGTAACAGTGGGGAAAGCAGGTCAGGGCAGGATTGGTTTCTTGCTCTGCCACTTTGATCATAAATTTAAATCTATGGCAAATACATTTGAAACTCTGCATATTCTTTTGGAGGTTTGTAGATTACTTCCAAATGACCATGAGTCCCCACATTCTGAGAAATCCCTACGTAACCCAGTTTTGTAGAAATAAACTGCAAAAGCAGGAAAGACAGGACTGTCATGAGAAGAAGGTTGCAATTTTCTAGTAAAATCCAAAGTTACTCTGGTTTTATCTGTTCAGCCTAACTCCAAACATTGCCATTTATTGGGATTGTCCCTCTTCAACAAGTTCAATGGAGAGGTTTCGCTCTGGTCCATCCCTCCTTTTCCTATAAAACATTTTTATAACCCATTAATCTACAAAAACTTTTACATACATGAAAGTGAACAAGCTACAGCAAGAAAGAAGACCCCTCACATTTACAGGCTCTTTTTGATGCAAACTGAACAGTACAAAACACAGTCCAAATTTGTGTTTCCATTTCTTCACAGATACAGGTAAAAGCCATGCCACTTACAACAGCTGTCTTGACAATAGGGCTCATTTCTAATTTTGAAGAATCCCTTGCAAAAAAAAAAAAGTACCAAACACTATTTTATCAGCTTTGAAAATGAAGGTCTGACTGTAGAGTATCAATTGTACTGTTCTTGCAGCAAATCAGTAAATGCCATCCACATGCTCAGCAACTGGATCAGCAAAGAAACCATTTCTCTCACTCATTACCATCTTTATCAGGAAAGGTGTTTAATACAGTAAAGCTTACAAGTAGTTTAGATCTCTCTCCTGGATACAGCTGTAACAGTTCAGTATCACCAAGGTTCTTCAGTGTTTCTATTGTTTCTGTCCCCCAAGGAAAGCTATAATGTAACTTAAATCCTCTTCTGCCTTCTTCATCCTGGAAGTCACTGCTGCTGAAGTTAGACGGGCCTACAGCAAACTGCAAGTAAGAGGTATAAGAGTGATCACTACTGCAAATCTCATAGAACTACAAAAAACAAGCCTGCAATGCAAACTGAAGTCTGGGTTGTTTTAGTACCATTTTCTGATTTTCAGCAAAAGGTTTTTGTAAGTTAAAGCCCAAATCTCTTGGTTGTTTTATGGCATTTTCATCTCACATCACCGACAAACACAAAACATTTGCCTCTCTGCAAGTCACATTATAAACTAATTATCAGGCTTGTCATCAACTTCAGTAGCTTCTCAATTTCCATGAGAAATGCACCTGGAACAGGCCGGAAATGTGAGGCCATAAAACCAACCATGGTGACTATTCCCCCTCTCCGAGGCATAAAGGAGCAGGCCAAGATTCCCCATGGATATGCTGCTGTTACCTTTCTCCACCACTGGAGCCTCTGGCGCAGCCAGTAATCGAGCCACTGTCCTGAAGTTCTGGGAGAACTAAACCAGGCAAGCAGAGACGTGGTCCTCTCGCCTATTCTTTAAACAACAGCAAGGGCAGCAAGTTAACACCTTGGGAAACAACAGGGGAAAAGCAAGAAACAGCATTCAAAAATAATCCAAAAGCGAAACAGTTGGTTTAGGTAGGATAAGGGATCAACTCCTCTATCACTCTACCTTGTAAGGTTTTTGTTGTGTTGTTCATTTCCTGAAACAGAATGTTCACTTTCTGGAACAGAATGAAAGCACACTCCAATCTGAGCAAGGCCACAGGGCAGTCTTTTGTTCACCAGCTCTAAGCAGCTGACATATTGTGCCAGAACACCTACAAAAAACAAAGCCCTGTTTTTTTAGTGGCCACGGGAAAGTTTCTGATGTTTTAACTCTACCAAGAACAAATTAAGCACATATTATACACGTGTTGTTTGTACATGCAGTCCCACTATCTTTACTAGCACTGATGCTTTGCAGACATGGGTTCAGCAGGCTGGTTCCTCTGGGCACGTTGATTTTAATGTGCTTTTCCCCGAATTACAGGGAGCGTATCTGCTGTCCACCTGTGCTGGTCAGGTCCTTGAAAAGCACACGTATTCACAGCCTACAGAAGGAACATTCCCACCGCACCAACGCAGCTGGGGAAATCCCTTAAATGCAGCTGCTTCGCTCCCAGCAAGAAACTCGTGCGCAGGCTGCAGGCTGAGCGGAGCCGCCCGGGACCTACCGGGCAGGAGGCTCTCCCGCAGCAGCCCCGCGGCCCCCAG